AACATCATGTGTTTCTATATTAGCTAAAACCGTCAAACTAAATTTTGTAGGATACGCTGCCCGCTGGCAGTATAAACAAATACCATTGCCCGTTCGCAAATTAAAAAGTTGTCGAACACTTTCCCTCGCAAACTTTCAACTATTCCATCCGCCATTTTGGTTTGGAACGTTTAACTTTTTAATTTTTAAATGTTTTGTAACGCTAGGATTTCACTTTAGCACGATCTTTTAGGAAAAAGTTTCGTATACCTTCTTTGTTGATATTCTTTTTTTAAAGAGTGCTTGTAATTTTTAGATTATGGATATTATGTTTTTGTATTTTTATTAGAACTTAAGGATTATATTCAAGAAAATTACACACATATTTAACTGATCAACATACAAATTTAATAAGCGAACATCAAAACAAATAAATGAAAAGCAAATAATTCGTAGAAAATGAAAGCAAAAGAAAATTATGTTCGTTTGAATTGCCCCCAATATTTTGAATCGCTACTAATGAATCTATCTCTCCTGGCGAAATCAAATTACTTATATTTTGATTGAGTATTTTATAATATGACAAAAATAAATGCGACTCAAGTCGTTAAGAATATTTTCAACCAATCGAAAGGGGGATAATGGAAAATTGTTGTTTATTATGTAGTTTATATTTTTTTATGCAAATTTGGCTAATATTATTTCATAATTGACTAATGTTGAATCATATTAAATAGTTTCTTTGTATTTGGTTTACAGTTATTTCAAGATTAGTCAGTAGGTATGTCGCGGAGAACCTAACGGGTAACCGGGGCTCCGGCTCGACGTGCAGGAGAAGGAACGGGGTGGTTTTTAGTCAGTAAGAGTCTGACACTCCCTCCCGCCTCACCCAGGCGGGAGCAGTCATTTGATGATTTTCCCCACTTAAAAAAAAGTCAGTAGGTATGTATATTTTAGTGTGAACATTAATTAGGTTATAACAGTTTCACATATATATAACCAGCTTCCATTCCACATTTGACCTAATCCGTGACCTTTATTGTCCTTGTTTAATAATATTATTACGAAAGTGGTTTTTTGTCATTCTTTCACGTCATGTTGGTCGCCTGGCGATTTTGATTTGAAGCATGATTTTTGTACCTAAAATAGTTTGAAAGGTGTAGAATGATTTAGCATATTTGTAGATTACTTTGTTCTTGTGTCCACTCGGAAGAAAACAAGTAAATAATAAAACGATACATCATTACGCTCAGAAAAAGCAAAACGGTATAATTTTAGTAAGTCAATCGAAAACACCGCGCTTAAAAAGATTCCCCTTCAACAAAACATCTTTCGACCAAATCTCAACAAATAACTATATTTCCTCTAACCGTCATACTCATTATGAGAAGATAAAATTTGAATTGTAAAACGCCACCCCATCCAAAAAAAGGGATAGTGGGCGTCAAAAAAGTACTGAAATCACCCTAAAGGGGGCGCCACCCCGTGGAATTAATATTTTTGGCCCTCCTTTTCTTGTTATCGAAAGATTTTAGATATTATTAATGTTTGAGATGAAGATTTTCATTTTCTTTTCCGTTTCAAGGATTCGAGAGGGGCTTTAAGGAAAATTTTCGATGTTCAGAGTAAAGGAGGTTTGTGTAGGTGTTTTTAAGTAGATATCGAGTTTAGGAAAAATCCGATGTTTATGTCTTCGGAAAATAGCGAATGTTTTGTCGTTAATGTCGTTAAAGAAGATTTATAATCAGTTTTAATTGTACAGACTGCCAGTAACATTCGAGACGCAAAAAAGTGTTATAAGAAATTGGTATTGTGATTTTTCACTTTATTTGTGTTTGACATGTTAAAATTGCTACACGAATAGATAAATACGACTTATGAAGAAAGGGTTTAAAAACTATATTGAAAAATAACTATATAAAAAATAAAATCTAATTTAACACATTAAACGCCACGGGGGTCACCGGTGGCCGACGTTGAGCGGAGGATTTGCCTTCAACAGTTTTTTATTGGCAGTCAAAGCCTTAAGGCATGAAAATAACTCTAATTAACGAACAAAAGAACTAATATTGGTACCAACATAACGATTCAATTCTCCAAAAAATAATCGAGAAAAATCCGATCTACTAACAAACCACTCGATCTCCGATCAGCTTTTGAGAACCCTTAGGAATCCAACTCCAAAAATACTCCAACGTTCCCTTTTTCCCAAAACATAAACATAAGTGGTTGAACTCAGTAGAGAAGATATCTCCAGAATGTTTTTAACAAACAAATGAGGCCCATTAAAGAGAAAATTGGCTTCGAAAAGTTTCGCTAGCGGGCGTCGAACGGCGTGACAACTTGAAAAATTTGCGCAAAACTCGACGTAATTGTCACTGATAGTGTTTTGTTTTGGGTCTGTATTTATAGTGTCTTGTATCTATAAGTATTGATTTTAAGAAGAAAACTTATTGTTACCCGGTTAAATCACATACATAACATAATATCACGCCTTTTATCCCTAAAGGGGTAGGCAGAGGTGCAAATTACGGCACTTATTGCCACTGTACGATGTAACACCCACTTTTCACTATTTATGTTATGAGTCCCATGTAATAGGGGGTGAGCCTATTGCCATATACCGGGCACAGTTCCAGACTCCGTGCTACAAATAAGATTTTTTTAAAAACCCAGTAAACTTTGCCCGAGCCGGGAATCGAACCCGTGACCCCTATCCGGCAGTCGCACTTGACAGTCCTGTATCTAAAAGTATTGACTTTAAGAAGAAAAACCTTATACTTATATGGTATTTACTTATATTTTGAAATCAGTATTATTTATAACTGCTGGTCCCATATTATCATCAGCTCGAGAGAGTTTATTCTTTGACTATAGACCATCTCTATATTTCTATAACAGTTAAATAAAGTGTTACGTTAATTTAATATAGGTAAGTGTCGTACTGGTCCAGAAGTTAAGGTGCTCGTATCACAAGCAGGAAGTTGTGGTTTTTATTCAACAGTGAAATAGTTACAACACGATATTAATTCACAATGTAGTTATATACAGTTTAGAAAATAATAGATGTCGTTTATAGTGCATAAGGCTTTGACTGCCAATAAAAAACTGTTGAAGGCAAATCCTCTGGAAATGTCGGTCACCGGTGACCCCCATGGCGTTTAATGTGTTAAGAAATAAGATCAATGCTCAGCCACATAGAGCGACTAGTGTAGGTAGACGTAATTCTTATAATGAGTAGTTCGAAAAAGCTTAACCGTAAACGGGCCTAGATAGTATAATTACTAAACTTATTTTAGTTTATGATTTTTTCCCTTTGTTTTAAAACAAAACAAAGTCTAGCTCACAAAATAAATAAAATTCGTAAAACAATTATTAATCACCCTTCAAAACACAAATCTAAAGAAATCCCTTTTATATTAATTTCTAAAATTCAAAGATGGCGGATGGACGAGACGTCGTTAAAATTTTCGCCTAAAACTCCGGTCCCCTAATTAAAAAATCGTGTCGAAGGGCAAATAAAATCAATTCCACCCCCGGCTTTACCCCCGCGGAATGCTCCGAGGAGTTTTTCTTACCCCCTTTCCAGTTTTACGTCGTAATTATATTTATATAATGAGTAAAAAGTTTTGATGGACTCCCAAACGGAATGTTTTTGCGAAAAATTTTATAATTTTCCCCGTTGTTTTATGTTGGTTAAATTATTTGGTTCTTGACAATATCGAATATATTATTCTATAGATTATTGACTGGTGGGTATATTTATTTGATTCTCGTTAATATTATCTTTACATCGATAATCTAGATATATTTTGAAAGTAAGTTGTTTTATTTCGAGTTAAAAATCTTTTATTGACTATTAATATAAACTTAAATAAAATAAATACTAACTATTATTACTAAATAAGTATATACGACTTAAGATACAATATATTTTAAGTTCAATAACATTTTTGCATAGACGGAAACACAAGGTTCACCTACACAAATATAGGGTTTCAATTTTATATCCATAAACGTTTTAATTTGTTATCTGTTCACTTATAATTTAACATGATGCTGTAAAACGAAATAAACGTAGAAACAATAAAATATTTTCCAAATATAAGAAACTAAATAAGTACTTAAACATAATCAAAAGCAAGCATTTATCCATTAATTAAAACGTAACATCGCTTTGAAAAAGAAACAAACAAAAAAAATAAAATTTTAACCCAAAAACGAGAGCGCTATTCAAATTTATTTTTTAAGAAGCTCCGGCCATATTGCACCCCGTCCCCACTCTCCAAAGACGCCCACGACAGAAAAACCTTTTCAATTGAACAAAAATGTCCGCACCAATGAGAGACGCTTTTAAAAATATAATCAATAGCTAAGCGAGGGAGGGTTGATAAAAAAAGTGTTGAAAAAGAATTAGTTTAAGTCTGGTGCGAGATGATTGAAGACTTTTAAGTGCTCGCGAAATTTTTTTAACTTGATTTGTTTTTTTTTTGATCTTTAATTTTTTTGTTGTTTACGTTGTAGTTATGGTTGAGTTGTAGTATAGAAATAAAAACTTAAAACATTCATGTTTTTTTTTATTAATGACCCTATCTTTTATACTATTTTTCTTGAGTAGATGGTCTTATCTTGTTACCTCGATTTGTAACCGTATTTACTATTATTTAGGGTCTGTTTCATAATATGATAATTGCAATTTAACTGACAGCAACTCAACTAACCGACCCTTGCACTCCAAAACTACTAAACTAATTAATAAATAATTCCTAAATAAAACAATAGATAAATTAGTACAATGTTTTACGCAGACGAAACCGACGGATAAGCGCTAGTTAGAAACAATTCTAGTTTGTTGACTTGATAAAATATGAACTATTGCTTAATTTCTTAGGAAATGTTAATAAAATTTCGTTTGATGTCAAATAGATTATTAATAGTCCCATTTATATTACTAGGTCGTCCATATTACAGTGTCAGAAACAATAAGAAGTCTTTGTAAAAGAGAATATTTTGGTACTTACCATTGTTAGTTTTTTCTTTGAAGATTTGCCTTTAATAAACTCAAATGATTGGTTGATTCTTATATACGTATGACGCATAGAGATTGGCATTATTTTCTATAAGTAGAGTAAACGGTTGATCCGTAGTTGAGATTAAATTGTACGTCATTTTCACGGTTACCACTGAAGTTAGATATACAACCTTAAACCTCCGACGGGGGTCAAAATAACCAATGTGACGTTTTCGATAAAAATTACTATAAGCAAAAATTTTTCGTACACCTCACTGACATGGTCAAAATACAACTGAAGTTAACCCTATCAAAGCGATGGGGTCAAAAAAGTTGTCTTACCGGTTATCTTGCCGTAGGGTACAGGACAATGGGCCAAAAGGGTGGCAACTGGACATAAAAGAATCACCTTTTGAAAAAAGGGAACGGACGTGTTAATAATAACGGAATGTATTATAATATTTGGACCTATTTAAGTATCCAATGGGTAGCCTATTGTGATTTTTGCGGAACTGACCTGACCGGTTTTCGGTGAGTTTGATTAGTGATGTGCTGTGATGTTGGGGTTAGAGGTTAGGACGTTGTCGATACATTTTGTTGATTTGTAAGTTGGATCAGAAACGTAACTGTTTAAATTTTGTTTTTGTTTATTTAAATTTGGTTGTTTAGGTATAATAACACCTTTTATTAAAAGATATGTTTTATATATGTTGTTAAAAAAGTGTTTTCTTGACCGAGAATTTATAATTACATTAAATTACTTATCTGGCTACCGTTGTTCAGGTTTCAGTTGAAGTTCCTATACCTGCTAGCTAGATTAAATAAAGTACTTGCAAAATCTTTTTGTTACCAAAAAAAGTCGATAAAAATTCTGGAAACATCCACCAAAACTATCGATAGCAACCCAACTATCGATAGACCAGACAACGTCCAACGGTCCACATAAAAAACAACAATTAAAAAGCGAAGAATTGTCCAGGGGTACAATGTGGCTGATTTGCATTCTCACCGGACCGGTTCTCACGACGACGGCGGAAGGGTTGCAGCCGGCCATAGCGTATGTCTTCATTTCGCACCTTATAACCGTGCCAATTTAAAACGCTTTGCATTTTAATAATTTTTATCTTCTACTTTAGATGTTGTCTAATAGTTTGACATTTTTTCGATTTTTATAGTTGTGTTACAAATTCCGGAGCTGTGTCGTACCTATACGTAACGTTAATAAAATGATTTTGAATGTGATTTATTGGTTTATATTTTATTATTTAGAATTATCGTGTCAGTTGTCAATGGTGTCGTAGGAAATGATTAAGGGACAACCCATTTTGACAGAGAACTGCAATTTCCTAGCTAAGTTTGGAGATTATGGCGAACAATCTTATAATATAAAGAAGAGACTTCGTTCGGTATTATCAATTTCTTATTCTTTTATCAAGTCCAAGAAGTCTATGACATCCAACTAAATTACTTCAATATAAGTCAATGAAATAAAAAATATCAACGTAATACCACAGTAAACATCTCAAACAAAATGACAGTCCGAGCTTATACACTCATTAAACTACATTTTTTGGGTTTTTAAATTTAAACTATGTCTAAGTAGTGTCTATTTCTTAAACTCTTTAGTGGTAGCACTTTCTAAACATGTGTCGAACAGAAGTCTAACTTTTTGGCAGTAAGATAGTTATAGTCCAGCAGTGATTCCTGATAATGAAACAAGTATTCCCAAAACACAAACAATTTCATCTCAAAACAATATAATCCTATTTATAAACAAGTCAATTGTAAGAATTAATTATACAATAAAACTACAAATTAGTATTAAATGTGTCGTTACGTTATTAAGTGATTAGGTAATTGGGTAGGCGTAGGCGTAGTGTTACGTGCTACCTACGTAGGCTGTTGGTAGACAATAGCTACGGGTTTAATCGTATGTTTCTGGATTAGACTCTTTTCGGTTTAAATGTGTGAAGGTCACCATAATTCTTTATAGTTTTGATGGTCCCATGTCGTTATTTTACTTTTGTTTTTGAAAATTGGACATTCGTATGACCGGTACTGTAGGTCTATAGAAACAAAATGCCACTGTAAACTTTGCATTTTTTCGCCATCGACCCTCACGACAGTATATGCATCCCCATCATATAGATGGTTGGCAGGCCACAACTGTGCGCTTCCCACGTAGCTTTCTGCCTCGCATAGCAAAACTGTAGAATGATCTGTCGTCGGAAGTATTTCCGAACCGACACGACCTTCAAACTTTCGAGAAAATAGCGTATTCTTTTTTAAAAGGCCGGCAACTCACCTGTGGCTCCTGCGGTGTTACGGGTGTCCATGGCAGCGCTGATCGCATACCATTAGGTGATACGTCTGCTCGTTTGCCTACTATTCCATGAAAAAATCAACCGTCTACAACTATATTCATGCTTTAAATATGTTAAAGGTTTTTGGCAGTTTGAAAATCACATACAATTTTATGCAGATAGGTAGGTATCATGGGTACACAAAAGTTAAAATAATCACTTTTAGTGAAAGAAGCCTTATTGGCCAAGTGGTCGCAAGTGCGACTGCCGGGCAAGGGGTCTCGGGTTCGATTCCCGAGTCGGGCAACGTATTAATGGGTTTTTTTCAGTTGTAGCACATAGTCTTGAACTGTGCCCGGTATACGGAAATAGGCTCATCCCCGATTCCATGGGACTCATAACATAAATAGTGAAAAGTGAGTGTTACATTGTACAGTGGCATTAAGTGACGTACACGTAATGAACACCTCTGCCTACCCTTTCGTGGATAAAAGGCTTGATGCTATGTATGTTAAAAGTAGAAAATATAAAATTATATGAACTACTAAACTAGGTCTAACACGAGAATCTCTTATAAAAATACGAACTCAAAACAGAAAAGACTACTGACACTCATAAACTAAAAGAAGCCGTTAAATCCATCTCCCAAGAATGTCCAAACGATGTTCCAATTTCAAACGACAAACCCCAAACACTAAGAACGCGACGAGCAGGTCAATTGGACCCCAAACTATTGTTATTCAAATTAATTGCTTATATTAACACGATATAAAGAAAGGGGTTAAAATAATGTTTGTCTTGACAAGCAAAGGACAATGAGTATAAAAAATGGCTATTTAATTTGGACCAAGGAAGCTTTGAATGTGATCATCTGCTCATCTTCCGGACGGTGAGTAACATGAGAAAGTTTAAGAACAAAGGGGTTTAAGAATTATTATTTATAGTTATTAGTGGACCCGTAAGACAATGTTCTTTATATATAGGTTCTAGCTTCTGCCAGCGACTTCGCACGCGCAATCCCGTTTTTTCCCGATCCCATAATATTTTCAGAATTTTTTTTGTATCATAAGAACCTTCTCCTGACAATAACAAAAAAAAAAATCAGCCAAATCGGTCTAGCCATTCTCAAGCTATGGCGTGACAACGGGAAACGGGTTTCATTTTTATATATTTACTAGCGGACCCAACAGACGTTGTCCTGCATATCCACTTGAATGTACCTCTATAAACAAAAATTCATTCAAATTACTTCAGCTGTTTAGGATAAATAACCTAAACATCGACTGCAGCGCAGGTTGCCGGACTGATTTGTGAATCTAAACCACTCCCAGATCCCCTTGAACACACACAAAAAATTTCATCAAAATCGGTCCAGTCGTTTGAGAGAAGTTCAGTGACATAACACACTCACAGAAGAATTATATAATTATAAAGATAGATTTGCAGAAACAAACTCGATGCAATATCGGTGATGAGTAGGTAAACGAAATGCCAATATACTTAGTTTAGCTGACCTAGTAAAGGAACTTGACTTCTCGCTGGAAATCTACGGAATAAAGTTCATGTCAACAAAAACGAAAATAAGTAACTGTAGAGGTAATATATAGGTCGGTACACTTATGGAATTGTTTTTTGACAATTACCTAAATGAGTGACATAGTTAATTTTACTCTAATATTTACTAACATAACGTCACGCCTTTTTATTCTCGTAGAGGTAGGCAGAGGTGCAAATTACAGCACTTACTGCAACTGTACAATGTAACACCCACTTTCCACTATTTATGTTATGAGTCTCATGTAAGGAGCGTAGTGGGGGTGAGCGTATTGCCATATACCGAGCACAATTCCAGACTCCGAACTACAGCTGACATTTATTTAAAAAACCCAGTAGTACCTACTTTACCCGACCCGGGAATCGAACCCAAGACCCCTTGCCCAGCAGTAGCACTTGCGACCACTCGGACAACGGGGCAGTTAGTAATAATTACGAGTTAGTAATATTTACTACTTAAACTATCAAATTTATAAAGTAACAAACAAATCGATAATAAAAAGATAACTAAAAATAACTCTTATGTCTTATGAGCATAAAGAGGAATATCAGGATATTTTTATTTTATAATATTATAGAAATTGCGATGACTAACTACAATAAAATATGTTTCTAAGAAAATGTTGGACACTTACAAACAAAATCTTGACCATTATTTTAATCTGAAAGCATTACTACATTTTGAAGTCTGTTGCACGACATCTAGTGTCGAGTAGATTAACGAAACTTTACAGCGACATCTAGTGTGGGGTAGGTATAAAGTAAACCGCCATCTATCGGTCAGAAGATTCACTAACAAACGACCTCTACAGCGTATCAACGAAACTAATAATTTCAACCAGCCACCTACCGGCGAGTAGAACAATTAATTTTAGTCTGGATTTTAATATCCATTCAAAATAAAACAAAAATGCATCACTAATGATTCACAATTTTTTTTGTACAGACATATTTTGATGGCACATATTTTTGTATTTAAATTTAAGCTGAATATTTAAATTGTTACTCCTTTTAGATTGCGCTATTCACTACTAGATGGCAGTAGCAGTACTTCTCATACCGTGTAAAGTCCACCCTTCGTTTAATAAACAAGGGTGTCAGAGCACCGAGCTTTAAATCGTATTCATAAAAATGTTGGCTTTGTGCATACTGTGATTGAAATTCTGCATAATTTTGACTAACTCAAAAATTCTATTATTGTTTTAGATGAGTTATTTCTACTTG